TCAGCCGAATTACACCCCTAGGAGTGTTCATTTATGAAAATGTAATCCCCCCCCCCCCCAAAAAAAAGGGTTAGATTTTTTTTTGGGAAATACCTCAAAATGTCACCCATTTTATAATTTTTTCTGGAAATACCCCCCCCCCCCATTTTTTTTTGCAACTATCACATTTTCAGAAATTTGGTTCTCTCTCAACTCGGTCAGCCCCCTTCTCTCTCTCTTTGCTCTAGCGCAGATCTCTCTCTCTCTCTATCTCTCTCTCTCTCTCTCTCTCTCTGTGTTCTGAATCACGAACCCCTCCCTGGACCCCCTATTTTAGGTATGTCTTCTGAATAGCTGCTTGCAATGTTGAAGCTCTACTGGATCACCGACCTCGAATAGGTAGTGTTGATGGTTATTTTCTTAATATCTGTTGGATTATGTGATATTGGTTTGATTTTCATTGCTTGGGTTTCTGTTAAATTGGTTTTGGATGTAATTGCTTTGGGTTAGGTATTTTGAATCTTCATGCTCATCCATCTTGGTTTTTACCAATTGCATTTAGATTGCTCTGGATATGTGAATCTTGAAACTTTGGATTTTCCATTCGATGTAGTGGATTTGTATAGTGTGATTGTGATGAATCCTTGTTCACTCCTATGTTAGTGTTGTATTGCTGTTGTGTTCGTGTTATTTTGATGTGGTATTGCTGTTATACTGCCGTTATATTGTTGTTATATTAATGTTATATTTCCGTTATATTGCCATTGTATTGCTTGATTATTGTGGTTGTATTGTGTTAATGAAATAATTTTTTTCATGGTCAGAAATAGAGACAATTGTTATTTTGGTTTGCTACAATGGAAAATGGGTAACCTCAAAGAAGATGTGCAAATACGAAGGGGGTGACTCAAAAGGCTTAATAGTTCCATGGACCATCACATTTGCTGAACTGTTGAATCGTGTGCATCAGATTGGTAATACAAACAGCAGGGAAAACAAGGTTTGCTTAAAGTTCTCAGTTTTGGTGGCCTCGAATGAGTGGAAGCACATAAAGATTGAGGACGATGATGATGCCAAATTTTTTATGAAGTACAATTGTGAGGTAACACCTTCAAAACTAGCTCCCTTACTCGTGAGTATAGAAGATAATGGACTGACAAATGATGTAGTTGATAGTATGCATATGACGACAGATAGTAGTCGGATGGGTCGTTCTTCAGCTGCCATTGTTGAAAGCAATGAAGTAACTTGGAATAATACAAATGTCGCTGATGTGGGAGGTGATGTTGGGACAGATTTTATGGACATGATTGATTTTAGCGAGGTGGAGGAGATGCATGGTGGTGATAATGGTACTGAAAGAAATGAAGTGTCAGTGTACTCTGCCAATAATGCGTTTAGGAGGAGAATCTGAACCCACTCGTGAACATGATTTGAGTCAAATGGGTGAATAGAACCGGTACAATGTGGCAGGTGTAAATGATGGAGAAGCATATTTGGACACAGGGTATTCGCGAAGTGATTGGAATCCGAAAATTACAGTTGGGCAAATTTTCTCTAGTAAGGGAGCATTGTTGACCGAGTTACGGTTGATGGCATTGAGAGGCCACTTTGAATTTAAGGTGCAATTCTCTTGCACTAAGAGGTTGCTTGTGGTTTGTTGTCAACGTCCATGCCCATGGCGGGTCCGAGCATCGAGAATTGTAGAATACAACTTCATGATTGTGAGGTGTACAACTGTCCATGAATGTGATTTGAGGTTCGTACATGACAACCATCGTCAAGCAACCGCAGCACTTGTAGCCACTTCATTTAAAAGGAAGTTGAAGGATTCTCGGACAATATACACACCAAGTGACATAATGAGAGATGTGAAACGCAACTTTGGTTTCACCATCCATTATTCGAAAGCTTGGAAAGCAATGGAGTTAGCTCTATTGTCCATTAGAGGATCAACCGAGGAGGCTTATTATATCCTTCCAGCCTATTGCTATGAATTGGAGCGTATGAATCCCTGCACAAAGACACACATCCAAATTGATAAGAACAATCACTTTGTGTATTTATTTATGGCTGTTGGCGCATGTATTAGAGGGTTTTGTTCTTCCATGCGCCCAGTGATAGCCGTGGATGCCACTCATTTAAAATCAAAGTACAAGGGTGTTATGTTTGTAGCAAATGCATTCGATGGCAATCGAAATATATATCCTTTTGCTTTTGAGATCAGGAATTTGGAGACGGATGCATGTGGCATTGGTTTTTCACTAAACTTCATGAAGCCATTGGTGAGTGTCCCAAAATTGTTATCATTTTTTATCGCAATGTTAGCATAGAGAATGTGTGGAACAAAGTTTTTCCAACAGCGCAACATGGCATATGCTTTTATCATATGAAGGGGAACATGAAATGCACTTGCAAGTTGAAAAAGCGTGATCAAATACTTATGCACTTTGAGCAGGCTGCGAAATCTTATTCCATTGCTGAGTTTGATTGTCATTTTCGGAAGATCAAGAGAAAGGAACATGTTGCTCAATATCTTGAACAAGCAGGGTTACATAAGTGGTCTAGAGCTCACATGGATGGACGCCGCTGTTCGGTTCATTTTTACACATGATTTTTCATGTTATTCACCTATTATTTTGAGTTAGTTCTTGACATTTTATAGCTTTTTACTTCCTTTTTGTGTTTTCTTAGATTTTACCTTGGTTAGAATGAAAATGAGCTAAAAGTGCATTATTGGTTATAAATTCTGATTTTGTTCATTTTCGTAGGTCAACTTCTTGGCCTTGGATCAGCATGCTCCAATGCTCGGATGAGGTGAACATCTTCATGAAACTTGTTCCAATGGATGTTAACTACAACATATCCAAATTTGAGCTTCATTGGACAAGTATTGCCTATCCAACCAATCCAGCATGTTACCACAGCTCTGGAAATCCGAAGTGCTCCAGCTTTTACCTCCATATTGTTATCTTGATTCTACTTATTACCATAACACTTGGTAACAAGAAATTACCTTGGTTAAGAGATATTTTCAGAGGCAAAGAGCATATTTTCAATGACAAAGCTTCATCATGGCAAGGGGACAAAGTTTGAAGCTTTAACAAAAGGTGGAGTTTTATATATTAAAAGTGAGCTGGAAATCATGGGCTAAAGGGAATGTGCAATCTGCAAAGCTGATGACAATTCCTTCATTCTACAATATAGAACGTGGGGGATTTGATTCATCTATCATACTACACATTGGGAGCAGATTTTGGAGAGCTGGGAGCAAGGAGAAAGCCAAGGTGCAGCCAAGCAAAGTGGAGAAGAAGACTTCCACCATTGAAGACTTCAAGCTTTCATCATTTCCAAATCTGTAAACTCTTTCTG